CCAAGGGCTTTCTTTACATCTTCTCACTCGCTCACTCAGTTGATATGGTCTTCTTTAGTTTGGTGAAAAAAATAAAGTAATTTGGTGTTTTGGTCGATTCATAGGAAGATTTTAATTTTTTTTTAATTTAATATAAATAAATAGGATATTGATATATAAAAATATATACAAATAATGAATTTTTTTTTTAAAAAAATATTTTTATATAGCTATATCTTTGCTTGTCGAAGCATACCTGAAACAGACCTGAATCTAACCGAAGCAGCCCAAAGCAACTTGAATCTTACTGAAGCGACAACACTATACTTCACTTCTTTTTAGTTTATGCCTCAAATCCGAAGAAAAGCAAATTTGTCCCGTGCCTCCAAGTCTCAACATCTTATGTCACTTTGTTTAGCCTCTACAGCCTGTTTTAATTGCTATACAAAAGGAGCATTTTATGTTGCTAGATAAGCTTCGAAACTTGATTTATTTCCTACAGAAATTTAAGTAAGACTAAAAGTTTTTTGGACACACCTGTATTGAATCCGACCGTGATTATGTTGAGGTTTTGTTGATTTTATTGATTTTTCTCGGGACTAGAGTGTCTGTGTAATTGATACTTCATGTATGCACTTTTCCCTAACTCAACATATTTTCTAGGCATTCATCCAAATCATATTTTCTATTTCTTCATTTTATTTGGAATAAAGAGAAAAAAAGGGAGACTAAATTGAAGTACACAAGGCCTCAACAACTTTTTTTTTATTCTTTTAATAGTAGAGGATTAGTTAGAACACAGGGAAATTTACGGAAAAATATTATTTTATTTTTTAAATTAAAAAAACTCATGTATATTTTACATTTTACACTAAAATCCTACTTTTGAAGGAATAAAATGTATTTTAATTTCAACTTTTTATCAATTTATCGGATTGAGCTCAGATTTGGTATGTCATACTTTTCACCGTCACACACCTATAAAAAATATTTTAAATATAAGTTAAAATAAAAAATTAGTAAAATATCCGTGAATATTGTAAGGGTACTTTGGTTATTTATTATTTTTGAATTATTTTTAAAATATTTTTTATGTTGTATGATGGTAAAAAATATAGGCTTATCTAGTTTGAGCTGAATCAGATATTTAGAAAAAAAGATTAAAATTAAAATACACTTTACGATCACAAAAAGTAGGGTTTGAGTATAAAATATAATGGCAAGCTTTCTATACTTTCCATATCGTATAAAACTTATATACTTCCTTCTATCCAACCGTCCATTATAAATAGACGGTTGAGATGGCCCCAATCCAATGTCACGCCTCTACACCATTTTATTTTTAATTTTTTTCTGCAAAACATTTTGACACAAAAATTTGGGCGCCCACGCCTCTTTTAAGACTTGAACCTGTAAAATGTATAAAAATAATATTCCCAATAAAATAAAATAACCAAAATGCCCATAAAAGTTTCAAGAGTATTTTGATTATTTTATTTTGTCAAAAATATTTTTAAATATTATTTTTAGGTCGTCCCATTGAGATGATGGTACACACCAAATTTTATATTCATATAATTTGTATACAAAAATTAACATAAAATACTTTGAGGTGACGGATCTAGATCAAATGGTCAGTAGCTCACTTTATCTACATTGGACGGCTTGATGCGAGGGGTATATATCTTCTATATAGTAGGGGAAAAATAAAAAGCTTTCACAAAATGTAAATATACATATTAGTTTTTAATTTCAAAAATATAAAAAAAGTACTATAAATTTCCTTGGAACAAGAGAAGATTAGAGCATGGTTTGCAGTACTATATTTAAAACAACGGTTTTTTGAAAACACCTTTCTTTTTGGAAGGTATGTTTTAAAAGGAATGCCTTTTTCAAATTTCTTTTCAGAAAACCATATTATTTGAGTTAAACAGAAGATAAGTTTTTGCGAGGAGGGGAAAAAAGTTGACGTTTGACAACACTTGAAAAAAAAAAAAAGTGCGGTATGATCATATACGGTCCAAACTTTGGAACATATTACATTGAGATGCTATTTTTTTGCTTTTTTTTTTTTTCATTTGACCTTTTGTTCAAAGTACGATTTTCAAACTGCATGTACTTGAAAAAAAAAATGATATATTTGAGTGGTTTGAAAGTTCAACATTGAAACCCAAACATACATTTTGATGCCGCATGATTCAAAACGCAAGAAAATTGATGTGCTTGGGTGGTTCAAAAAATGTAACTTTTGAATGACCTAAAATACAAAAGAAAAAGAAAACTAAAAATAACTAAGAGTCAGGTGGTTCGAAAGTCCAATATATAACCTGCCCTAAATACATCAATTCTTTTTGTGGCTTGAGTAGTTCGAAATAAAATCCAATTTTTTTTTTTTGTAGATTGAGCAGTTGAAATGTATTTTCAAACTGAAGTAAAATGAGAATAAAAAAGACAGAAAAAGTAGAAACTCAATTTAGTAAGGCCCAAATTTTGCAACATATGGTGCACATCTTTTACTAGATATGTATGTAAATTTTTTTAAACAAAACATAGCCTCGTTATGTCTTTATTTTAGATCAGTGGTTTAAAAAGCAGATCGGTGACCTGGATCGAGTATTTCAAAAATCCATCCGGATCGGCGAATCGACGATCCGGATCGAGAATCGGTTGGATTAAGCTGTAAAAAAATATAAAAAAATTATTATAAATGTTGTTTTTTAGGAATCCAATAAGAAATCAGGGTACTATATTATTAATTTTCATTTTTTTCATCAATATGTGAATATTGAGATATTTTTTATCTGTATGAACTTATTTTAACCATTAAATTACATCACACAAAATAAAAATCATAGAACTATTATGGATAAAGTATATAATCATACATAGACTACAATAAAGAATGATTTTTTTATAAGAACATTTTAGTTTTTTTGACAAAAACCTTTTATTTTTTTACAAGAAATGTTTGTCGTATTACAATTTTTTTTTGTTTATAGCAAGAACCTTTTTTTTTGATAAAAAATACTTGTTGTATTATTTTTCTTTATTAGAATTTTTTTTTTGACAATATCTTTTTATTAATTTTTATTTTTTTGATAAAAACCTTTTATTTTTTTTCACAAAAAAAAGAAATTTGACAAGGAAAGTAATTGATAAGAACCTTTAATTTTTTTATAAGAAATTTTTTATTTTATTGATAATAAAAAAATTTGACAAAAAGCAAAATTGATAAAAAGACCTTTCATTTTTTTGATAAGAAAATTTTTTGACAAAAGGCGAAATTGATAAAAAAACCTTTAATTTTTTTCTTATGACAAAAATACTTGTTGTATTATTATTTTTTAATAAGAACTTTCTTTACCTAGTAATATTAAAAACGCAAACAAAATATATAATATATTAATGTTTCAAGTTAATACCTTTACATAATCCCACATCAAATGTATTTTACGGTATGGAATCGCCGGCGATTTACGACATGGAATCGCCGATGATTTATGGCATGATATCGTATGTTCTTCAATTTCACTGAAACCAAATCGAGCCTATGTATACAATTTCAAAACTCGTAAGTACCAAAAATTTTGGTACTCATAACTATCAATTTCGATAGTTATAAGTACAATTTTGGGGGCCTTAACTTTTTGTTACATCAATGACGCGGAAATGAAGGCCGTCAAAGAGGGTGTCATCAGGCACAAGAGGTCACAAGCACATTCTTATTGAAAGAGACTCAGCAAATGTTATCAAATTGTTCTCTCAACTCCTTGGCAAATGGACTTTCATTATGGATTAAATTTCTTTTGCATTATTTGTCAAAAAAATTCTTTTTTGTTACATCAATAGATACAGAAATGGCGATGCTGCTGACTCTATTGCGAAATTAGGGTCGTCTTAAGCCCTCTTCTATCTCTTCACTTTCCATTTCTACATCTTCCCCTTCCTTTTTCTCTTTCCTTTTTTTTTTTTTCTATGTACTTTCTCATTTTCTCAATGTTTTTTTTTTCTTTAAGTATTTTCTCATTTTTTTCAATGAAATTAGTGTTAACACTAAAACAAATTTCCAAAAATTATATATTTACAAACTCAAACACCTTTGGTGCTCAAAGTACCCAATTAGGTTAAAAATTAAGCCCAAAAACACATTTGTTTATTAGAATAACTAACTGCATTAAAATTAATCCCAAAAATAAATTGAGTACTATTGGACTATGTTGAGGATATGCCTCTCATAAATATCATACTTAAGAGTGACGAACAAAAAGAGATATTTTAGAAAAAAAAATCATAAATTAATAAATTTCAAAAAACTTTTATGAGATTGTATATCATGAGATCATTTATCTTTGATACAAGGATCAAAGAGGTCACAATTACTTACAATTGAAGTAAAATTCGCTAGCTTGAGTTGTCACAAAGTTTAAAAAAACTTTAATTTAAAAATTAAATTTGGTTATAGAATTTCACATTTAATGGTCAAGATTAATGATGAACCACATAAAAATGATCTCGTTATATACTTTTTTTATACTTTATATATCTCTTAAAAAATATATTTACATTAAGTACTCTTAAAATAACTTTATATATCTCTTCAAAAAATATTTACATTAATTACCCTTAAATTCACCCAATGCTCTTCTGGCAGTGTCCCACCCTCTTTCTCAAACACTGGTGAGTCGTGGCCATTTACAAGCCGTAACGCCTCTCCGAGTCTCGATATTAATACACAATTTCGTTTCCCCACAAACTCGCTCTCTCTCTCCTCTTTCTCTCTCTACAACGTAGAAACCCCACTACGACTCTCTTCCTCTCTCTTACTTTTTTGTTGAACTGTTCCCCCTCTCTCTCCAGAACCCACCGCAAGTGTGGCGGTGTCCTTTTCCCGCATAATATAAATAATGGATTATTTATAAATGAACAATAAATAAAGGAAAAGCGAAAAAGCGTATAAAAGTGAGGCCAAAATATCGGGGCAAGGCGTCCACGTAAGCCCCCCTTTGCCGCTTTGGATATGCATCAGACGTGCGCTTTTCCCGACCCCAACAACCGCCTTCCCCTCCCACATTTTCCAAATCCCCAACTCGTCCCTCCTTCTCTATTTTTTTATTCTGCAAACTGATATCGCCACCTAACGTTTTAGTGTTTCATCCCTTTGATTTAAATTTTGTCTTTACTGATTAGCGTTGTTTTACTAAAGAATATGGGTGGCTGTATCAATCATCACTAATTTAATTAAAGCCACGAATATCTTCGTAGATATTTTCTCTGTCCCTCTCTCTCTCTCTCCTCCAAATATCTTCGCCGGTTTTTTTCAGGCATCTCTCTCTGTGTCTCTGAAACCCAACATTAGTTAGCGTTAGGGTTAGTGGTCAAAGTCTTTGTAACCAGAAGCCCATAGAATCTCGCGAATTCGCTCTCCACTACTTTTTTAGCACCTGTAGATATAATTAGGGTTAGGGTTCGTCTGTACTCTTGAACCTCTGTAATTAGAAAACCTAGTATCTCCCAACTTTGTTCTCTGTAAATCCTAGCGCCCACATTTGAGAATCTGAGAAACAGAGAACCGAAGGATACGGTTTGGGGGCCATGTGCTCAGGTGATGGACACCTAACCCAGTTTATTTTTTATTCTGAAACTCCTTCCAGACCAGAGATGATCGAAATTAGAAATATGGTTTAGGGCACACCTGTTCCTATTCCCTGTGTGATCGAAATAACAAAATGATAGGTTGATTTGTGATGGATCAGAATTGGGTTTCGTAATGTTAGGTCGTGATTTAACCCCCATCTAATCACCTGAGCTCAATTCAAGCCTCTGAAACTCTTTTCTTCTAACAAACGTAATTGGGGTTGGGTCCTTCTCCCTGGTAGTTGAAAAGCTCAAAACCCTGGCTCAATTCAAAATTCGAATTTGATTTCAAATCGTGTGAGAAATAAGATTTGCCAGGTTTTCTCCCCGTAGAATAAGCTCAAACCCTTTCAATTCATTCTGATCAGAATTGAGGGGCTTAAAACTCTAGCTTCGATTCAAACTTGATCAGTTAAATTAAGCTTTCTGGGATTTCAGCCATGGGGGAGGAAGAGCAAAGCATAGACTACCAACCTTCATCAGAAGAAGACCATGTAATGGAGTGGGAGTTGGGGTTGCCCAGAGCTGAAGACTTGACTCCATTATCTCAGGTCCTCATCCCTCCTGAGCTTGCATCAGCTTTCAGCATAAGCCCCGAGGCATGTCGGAGCATGCTTGATGTGAACCGTGCATCACAAAACACAGTTTCCACACTCAGGCGCCAGGCGCTCCCTACCAATCTCAAATCCCTCCCCTCTTTCTCTCTCCAACAAGAACACGAGCCCACCGAGCCAGCGACTGAATCAAGGGCCCGCAAGTTCTCGGACCGTGAGGCTACTGATGAGATAATGGACTCGAGCAGACCTGATCCAGTTGATGAGCAATCGGCTCGAACCCTAAAGCGCCCAAGGCTGGTTTGGACTCCACAACTTCATAAACGCTTTGTTGATGTTGTAGCTCATTTGGGTATCAAGAATGCGGTGCCAAAAACCATCATGCAGCTTATGAATGTAGAGGGGTTAACAAGAGAGAATGTTGCCAGCCACCTTCAAAAATACAGGCTTTACCTCAAGAGAATGCAGGGTCTTTCAAGTGAGGGGCCTTCTTCATCAGATCATCTGTTTGCTTCGACCCCTGTTCCTCATAGCCTTGCTAGAGAGGAGCCTCAAGGGCTCATGCCTATCCCGATGCCATACATGATACCCATGCCAATGGCTGGGCATCATGCCCATGGACATATGGGGCATGGCCATGGGCACATGGCGATGACAAATGGTAATATGGGATATCATGGGTATGGTGCATTTGGGCCTCAGAACAAGTTTGATTCGATAGTCGGGTATCCCCATGTGTCCAAGCAATAAATGAAGGCAAGTTGAAGAAATGGGCTATTTTGCTAACTGGGTTTCACTGAGAAGATGAGGCTTCTTGGTGTAATTAGAATTATGGTTGGGATTGTAGCGGCATGTAATCGCTCATGAGAAAGGTTCACCCGATTCTTTGTAATCCTATGTATATCAAATAATTGATGATCATCTGTAATGTGTATGTTCATCTATAAAATTATGATAGCGGGTGAGTTAGCTCGTATGGGATTAACCATCTTATATTTGCAATGGTTGGGTTGAAAGGATTTGAATATCCTCTTATTGCTTAAATGCTTATCGCATTCTGTTTTGATTGAATGTATTGGCTGATATTGCATCTCAATTGCAAGAATTATTTCTTCACTAGAAAATTAGCCTTTCTTTGGCTAAATAAAATTCAGGGCTTTAAGTAATTCACCCAGGCTGGTTAATTGCTCCATCAACATTGTTCACACTGAGAGAGTTTTTGAGACTCCTGTTATGCAAGAAAAAAAACCATTTGACAAAGCAGGCATGTGTTTTGTCATTATCATTCATACTGCATGCACTTGTGGAAACTCTCGAGTTTGGATAATTATTGTTGTAACATCAAAGAAAAGGAGAGGATTCATCATGTAAAGCAATTATGTGTAATCAATAGCTGAGATTCAACTGAAAACCAGAAGATGTTAAGATAGCTTCTGATCGTAACATATTCGAGCTTGTAATTTGTGACTTATAATCCAAATGTTGTTTGCGGTTTCAATATTTTCAATAGTTTTTTCTTCCTACAAGGGCATTTTATTGTTCGGTAATGTTGATTTATAATTACTTTGCTAACTAGAGAATCTTGATTCTAATTTGGCTTATATTATCCCCCTGAAATCTTTATGTAAGCTTGGATTTTTTTCTTATTTGCTGGGCTTTTATGTAAGCATGGACCTTTAAAGTTATTCCCCGTCCAACCCCCCCTCCTTTTCCTCCCACCCACCCACACACACACACACGCAGAAAAAAACCGTCCAACCCCCCCTCCTTTTCCTCCCACCCACCCACACACCTACACACGCAGAAAAAAACGTTTCAGTCGAGCTGTTAAATTTTGTGGGAATTAGTCAAGGATGCTCCCAATGTTCTAATTTCTAAATGGTAGTTCTGAATCCTGATCACTCTTTCCTAGGGCAATGCGGTGGAATTCAGTCATTATGGGTTTTCTTGTTAGGAATAATGGTACCTATTTAGGGGACCCTTTCCTTACTGAACTACCAAAAAAAAAAAGAGAGCATATTAGTACCTATTTTCATGCATTGGCGTTCAATGGTTATAGGTGTTTTCTCAGGATTCTTGTCCTCTAGTGACTATATTGAGTTAGTTTTCTTCGAAACCTTGGCTCCTTTGGTAATCCATAAGAATTGATTGGATTGAGTTATTTTTGTAAGTAATGGGTCCTGTCCGGGCGGTTTGATTGACTATATTGAGTTAGTTTTCTTCAAAACCTTGGCTCCTTTGGTAATCCATAAGAATTTATTGGATTGAGTTATTTTTGTGAGTAATGGATCCTGTCCGGGCAGTTTTGATGGCATTATTTATGAGCAGTTTTTTTGAATAGTCGGCTATCAAATTTGTTAAGGCTATCCTTACCACTAGTACTCACTTACCAGATATCTCCTTCTGCACCCTGAGGGTGATAGTGCCATTTCCCTAGCCATGGTCTCATTGGGCCCTTCACTAACGATTATGAGTCTCATACTATTGTATCACCTTTCGTGGAGGTCTATTATGAAGTTTATCGAGAGTGATTGACATTATTATGTTCCCTTGGGCATCTTAACTCAACTGAGAAATGACTCTTTTCTTTTGCTCCTAGGTTTTATGCTCAGTGAAGCCATCTGTATTGTACTGAAGAAATTGGAATGGGCCATTTGGTAACGTACGAGGATAAGGCGTCTCCTTAATCAGATCTTCAACTAGCAGTGTTTGCATACCCAGCTGCTTACTTATCTCACCTTCCTTTTTTTGTGAATCCCATTTAAATAGAAAGGCGAGATTAGCAGCCAGGCATGAGTTAGAAGCTCCTGAAGTATGTTGCATGAGTTTAGAGTCCCTTTGTTTTGGTAAAGGGATAATATGGTCTAATATTATTTTTCTGTAAAGCAAGGTGCTTGCTTACTTATCATTTATGGGCATTATATACATAGTTATGAGATGCTTTAAAGGTAGCAGGTGTTCTAGCTCCAGAATCTCATTCCAGCAGTCAGGAAGGGGAAACATGATCCTCCATCACCTTAGGCTATTGTTTCATACCATGAGAGATTGTGACGCCCTTGGCCCTTGGAGTTGGATCTCTTCTCTTTGCGAGGTCTAGATCTCATGAATCATGTGTCTGAGATGCCAGAGAGCTAGAATCTCATACTCACCTATAGCGAACGGTATGTTCTGCAGCGTGACGAAAGCTAAAAGCCTATCAATACACATGCAAGCAATTTGTAGGTCTAAACTCTGAGAATTTTAACTCAAGAAATTTTACGAAGATGATGAATATTAGATAACATTCTATGTAATAATGAGTGTCACGACAATGAACTGGTGAGCAAGAAACTGAATTAGGTTGTATTTGACATTTTTATTTTTTTTGGGGGGGGGGGAAGATAAAATGAATAAAAAAAATGTACAAATGAAAAAGGGGATAAGTTCCACTTTTGGTCATAACCCTAGAATATCTCCTTTTTTTTATGTGTTTCCTGCTATGAAATTTGTTGTGCATTTGTATATAATATTTAAAATGAATCAATCATATATATTTAACTTTTTCGCCTTATTTTATGATGGGTGTGTGTACATATGTATGCATCTACATATGTATGCATGCATGTATTTGTGTATTCTAAGGCTACTTCCGAGCATATGTTCCTAGGTACACATTATATAAATAGAACAGATAATGCATATATATTCTAGTGGCTTCTAAGGCATGGAACTTTAGGCAGGGCATTGTCACCCACTCCCATTCCCACACCACTCTCGACAAGAATGCTTATATATATATATATATATATATATCATCAGGCCTATTAACCTTCTCACAAGTGTTTATAAGATTATTGCCAAAATTCTTGTTGAGCGTCTAAAGGTGGTCTTTCCTACTATTATTTCCACTACACAGTCAGCTTTTATTTAAGATCGCCAAATTATTGATTGTGTACTGGTGACGCAAGAATGTATCCATTCGCGAGTCCTGAGCAAGAAGGATGACATTCTTTTAAAGCTTGACATGGAAAAGGCATATGATAAGGTGGAATGGGGAATTCCGTTAGAGATTTTAAAACGGATGGGGTTTGGAGACCGGTGGAGGAGGTGGATATCTGGTTGCCTATCTTCAGCTTACTTCTCTATCACTTTCAAAGGTAGTTCGATAGGCTTTTTTAATGCAACCCGAGGCCTTCATCAAGGAGACCCCCTATCTCCTTTCTTATTCACGATTTATGCTGAATGTTTTAGCCTTATGTTAAGCAGGGTGGTGAGGGCAAGGGCTTTTGAGGGTTTCCAATTTGCAAACTTAGATATCTCAGTTTCTCACCTTCAGTATGCTGATGATACCTTAATTTTCGTTTATGCTGAGGTTACACAAATCAGAAATGTCCAGAGATTTTTGGAGATCTGTGAAGTTACTTTAGGCCTGAAGGTTAATTTCCATTAGTCTTCTATGGAAGGAGTCAGCTGCAGTGACAGTGTTGTGACTGAGTTCGCTATGGTTATGGGGTGCAAGTGAATTATTTCTTTATTACTTATTTGGGGCTTCCGATTTCATACTCTAAATTCCCCATTGCTATATGGGATAGGGTACTCGAGAGAATTCAAGTTAAGTTAGATCTATGGAAACACAAATACCTTGCTTTGGGGGGAAAGGTGACTTTGCTAAGATCGTGCCTCGCGAACCTGCCAGTGTATCAAATGTCCTTAATACAAATGCCAGCTTCGATTGCAAAGAGAATTGAGAAGATGACGAGAGATTGCTTTGGGGTCGAGCAGTGAGAGAAGGAAGTTCCATTTATTAAGATGGGATAGAGTTTGTACACCCAAGCGTGAAGGTGGTTTGGGTATACGAAAAGTGTTGAGGTTCAACCAGGCCCTATTTTGTAAATGGTGGTGGTGTAGCATTCACCTAAAGGATCACCTATGGACCCAAGTGCTGAGGACGAAGTATGGGATGGATAGGCAAAATCTGTGGATAAGGGGTAGTAGAAGGAAGGAGGTGTCTTATATGTGGAGGGCTATTTTCAATTGTAGGAATATGGTCTCGGGCTACTTTAGATGGAATGTGGGTTGTGGCAGTCAAATTTTATTTTGGCACCACAAGTGGCTCTGAGATTACCCGCTGAAGGCTACTTTCCTTGACCTCTTTAAGGTAATTACATCTCCTTATCATAAAATTTGTGAGGCAGTTGAAAATAGAGGTCAGCAAATGGTGTGGGATATGCCTCTTATGTATAGAAGGCTGAACAATACCGTACTGTCCCAATGGTGTACATTGATGGAACTTTTGGATAAAGTTTATATTTCTCAGGGGGCAGAATATTTCTTGATATGGGAAATTGAAAGGGACAGTATATTCTCTGTTAAATCATGCTATAACCTCTTCTTTCATGATCGTTGGAGATGGTCGTCACCCAAATTTGTGCAGATATGGAAGTGGCCAATACCACATAAAGTTCAAATTTTCATTTGGCTAGCCTCGCAAGATAAAATCTTAACAATTGATAACTTGCAAAAACGGGTGAAAGTGCTGCCTAATATATGTTTGCTTTGAGTGAAGCAGTTGATCATCTTTTAATATATTGTCCCTATACTTTAAAGATTTGGCACTGGCTAATTGGACAAGTTGGTTTTACTCAGAAAGTGATTGGGATAGTTTCACAATTTAGTATCCCTTGTCTATCTAAGGTGGGTGTTACGATTTGGAAGATTGCTAAAGGTCTGATTCTATGGGAAGTTTGGAAGGAGAGAAATATGAGGACATTTGAGGGTGTGGGGCTGCCGGTAGACAAGCTAATTCACCTTATCAAGTTATCTATCTGGTCTTCTTTGTCGGTGGCTAAGGATGTGTGGGGCATCTCTAAGGTTGATGTCATGGTCAATCTGCCCAATCTTTTTTCTTTGGGTTTTAGACCTAGCAGACCCCCAAATGTTTATGGTATGCCCCACCGATTGGCAGTTTTAAGTTAAATTTTGATGGCAACTTGATAGGAAACCCGGGATCAGCAGGTATTGGAGGAGTTCTTAGAGATTGCTTTGGAAATGTTGTGTTTTCTTATGCAGGTCCAATTAGTGTTGCAATGGCTAATTGTGCGGAACTTGCCCCTTTATTAAGGGGTGTCCAAACTTGCATTGGGAAGAACTTAAGCCTTAATTGTTTAATTGAAGGGGACTCCCAAAATGTTATTTGATGGTGCAAGAAGGAGCAGAGGGTACCATGGGAATGTCATCGTTCTGGTTGCAAATTTTGGATGCGGTGGATAGTCTTTCAGTTTCCTTCACCCATGTTTCTCTCTCTTCCTTTACTGTTTCTAACGATGTAATTTCCTTTTAGCACATTAATGAAATTGTTGAATCTTGGTCAAATATATATATATATATATATATATATATATATATATTAGTACGTCTTTACCTAACTAAGTTAGGTACGTACGTACTACTTACTTAACTACTACGTTACGTCGTACTACTTACTCGTCGTACCTACCGT